TCTATACATTTGACATAAATACTTCCAACTTTGCTATTAGAATGGTCCTTCAACAAGACTTTGGTAGGAGCCTTCAAGCCATGGCATATGAATTATGTACGATTAAAATGACATAGCATAATTACTCTGCATGTGATTAAGAAAAATTAGCAATTATATATGCCATAAAGATGTGGAGACACTATATGTTAGAAAAGCCAATGATTGTTTGAACTGACCATCGATCACTGCTACACAATTGAGATGTGAAAAATATGAAATCACAATATTATTGTTGGAAAGAAAAATTGTAGTCTTTTGACATTCAACTTGAATATAAGCAAAGACAACAACTTACTATATCGGATAATTTATCATGGAGATTGAACTTGGAGGCTGAATTGGAAGGTAAGGCAAAAATTGCTACCATTAATAGTGTCATTTCAAACCTTATCAAAGATGTAAAATAAAAAGAAGTTATGCATTAGGATGATTATTTCAAGATAGTTAGCGATTGATTGAAGGTCAACAATGTACAGTGTGAAGATTATAGTTTTAGTAAAGGCTTATTCTATTTCAAGAAACAAATTTATATACCTAATGATACTATACTCCAGACGTGCATACTTCAAGAAGGACATGACATTCTAATATCTAGGCATCTAAGACATGAAAAGACTTTAGAATGAATTTCAAGGACATGATTATGAATAGGTTTGGACCATGATGTTTCTACTTCTGTGCGCTCTTGCAAGTCATGTCAACATAATAAAGCACGTAATATCTCATAGGCTATTCCAGCCAATTCTACTACTTACAACACATTGGGAGTAAGTGACCATCATCCTCATTATGTGTTTCCTACAGATATCTCATAATCACATTGTGATTGTTGTCTTTGTGGACCGACTCTCGAAGCAACTTTATTTGGTTGCGATGTAATCTAATATTGATACTCTCAATACTTACACAGATCTTCTTTGACATTGTCTTATGTCACCATAGATTACCTCACGTCTTTATTTCAAATTGAAATATGAACTTTACGGGGATTTTTTGATAAGCCTTATTCAAGCTATTAGATATACGACTTGTCATGTCGATGACCTTTCATTTTCAAATGAATGGACAAATAGAGTGTGCAAATTGGACCTTAGAAGATATGTTATGGGTATTTGTGATGGTTCACAATAATAACTAGGATAAATATTTGACGCCCTTGAAGTTTGCTTATAATGATTGTATTCAAGGAAGTACTAGTCATTCACCATTCTTCCTTAATACCTATCAACATTTGATTATGCCAACAACTCTCTATTGTTCCATCAATACTAGCAACCTTACAACAAAAGAATTTATACAACAACTTCTTACCACACAAAATTGACAAAAGCAATATGTAGATAACCACCAGTAACATAAGACCTTCTAGAAAGGTGATTGGATATTATCTTCTAATGCCAACTTTTTACTTGCTACATCAATCTAGGTCCATAAGTTAGCACCTCAATGGCTTAGACCTTTCCACATTTTTGCAATGATTTATGATGTTGCATATCACCTCGAGCTTTCATCACATATTTGGGTTTATCCAATCTTCTATGTTTTACAACTTAAGAAGTTTCATATTGAACTAATGCGCTTCCCGGATTGATACCAACTACCACCACCACTAGTTGTGATTGATGACCAATCAAAATATGAAGTAGACAGCATTTTGGAGCATTACTACCTTTGTCATGGCAATGGATGTTTGCAATTTTAATACAAGGTCATTTGAAAAGGCTATCCCATCCACGATGCAATGTAGAGATTTGTACTGAACCTCATCTATTGCTAAAAAATAATCTGGAAGTACCATCAAGAGCAAAATAAAGATGTTCTATATTAGTGGAAGGAGATTAATTGTAATAGGACATAGATAAGATAATTGTATTATTGATGCATAGAGATAAATAATTGGAATTATTTTTAAAAAAATTCTAGAAGTTTTTAGAATTAGGACCAAGTTGGTGGTTCATGTAGAGTCTACTTGAAATATCTTAAAAGAATTAAGAAGAATTATCTAAGTCGAGCCTATATCTAAAAACTTTTAGAAGGGCAGGTATATTAGTAGGGCCTATCATTAGGGACATTCTAGAAAGTTCCAAAATATTTGGACAAAATACAAATAGGATTGATTGAGGCCATTTGAGGTATTTGGTTAGGTATGGCTTTGGTCCCTTTCTCTCAATAAAGTTTGGTTTGCATTTTTTATTCTGTTCTGTGTTATTTCTTTTTTTATCTATTTTGTCTTTCATATTCTGTTCTGTTTGGTTTTGTTTAGTTTTATTCTAGTCTATTTTGTCCTACTTTGTGATGGAATTTATTTGCTATAGAGTGGAAGGATTTTTAGATCTTTAAGAGAATTCAGACTTATTTCATATGTGATAAGTTTTTCAAAATGTTTTGATAAACAATTTAGAATTCTATGAACTATGACTTTTAAAGATTACTTTAGATTCACAATTTTTAGATCTTTCATAATATTATTTATATGTTGCATAAAAAAGTAACTTCTTGATGTTCACTCATTTGTAAGTATTTCCAATAATTAAGTACAATCATAATATTAGATATAGTATTGGTAAGAAACATCTTCTTAAGGTGATTTCAAACAACTTGTGGATCTTAGATGTTAGTGATGGTGTATTGTAAATTAAAACAAGAGAAAGTTGAAGAAAACTTTGGTATGGTGCTTGCATTTGCAGTTGATGTCAAAAGTCCAAGATGTAGGAACATCTTTGACTATCACTCCTTTTTCCTTATTTTGTTTTATAGACTATAGTAGAATTGTCTTTAAGTTCAGTGAGGACCCATAGGTCTTCTTTTTTGAAGATGCTCTGCATAGTCATAGCCCAATGTTTGTAGTTTTTGGATCCTATGAGCATAGTCTCTTTTGAGCAAATACTTTCTTAGATACTCATGATGTTTTGTTATTTGTAGGTATTGAGAAGGCAATGAAAACAAAGGAAAGAATGAAATTTGAAGATAATGAAGTTTAATAATGGGAGTTGAATCTAAAGTCTATTGTATCATTAAAATATGTGATTTTGCAAATGAAAGAACAATAAAAAAATGTTTTTTGATGGTAAAGTATTAGCTAAATACAAATAAGATGTATTAATTGCATAATACATTCCTATAAGATTGATGTTATCATAAAATAAAAATAAATAAAAAATAAATAAAGATTGAAAGAGAAAAAAAAAAACAAAACAAAACAAAACAAAAAAAAAAACAAACAGCTTGAATCAACAATAGAAAAAATAACTTGAATAAAAATAAAAATAAACATAAATCAATGCAAAGAAGACTAGCTTTGATACCATGACAAATAAGCATAAGGAACAAAAGATAATATCAACCTAAAAACAAGCAACATGAAATAGTAGAATAACAAGAATATAAATATGCAACTTAGAGACCCTTGTGATATCACAAGGTATATCTATATATGTGCTTGATATTTCCGGATATATCGGATCTCAGCAACAATTGGTGACGTGGACAAATATACTATTTTCTCCTTCGATGAATGGAAGGATAAGACGTGGATTAATCATTGCTCCAACATCATTCACATTCCATAACTGTGCACAAATGGCCCGTCAACATGTCGACGTAAACTGATGGGAAGAGTCACAACGACGGTCTCGAAAATACCATCTTCCAACTGATGAATAGCATTTGCAGAAGCTCGACGTTGCGAAACAGACGTAGATCCATGCATTCGTGGAGACTGCTCTTAGAAAAAAGCGATAACAGTATGGGAAATCAGTACTCCGGGCTGGTTATCAGAGAGGCAGGACCGCGGGCTGTTTGGGATTCGGCTTAGTGTTGTCAGGAACGGCTCATTGCAAGCAGGTGAAGACTTTCTAGAGTCGAGATTAGCCCTGTCACATCATGCTTCGTGAAGAGGGAGATCTGCGCCTGCCAGTGTGGGTAGTTCAACTGACACGTAAACGTAATCATCGCACCAGTATTGTTTAGAGAGGATCTGCGGGGTGAACGCGCCGACTGCTTCAGATTCTGAGGGACACACGCACACGACTGTCTTCGTCACTGATGATGATGCGCACCGCAAGAACTGTAAATACTTGACCAGACGTGATGGCACGTTCATGGTGGTCAGAAAACTACATCTGCTGAAGAAATACTAAAATTACCACGGTGCGACTAACTCCGTGATCTGGGGTTTTCATTCGGACTGGGTTTCTTCGATGTGGGTAATGTTTCTTGCTCTTGTCCGTTCAGCTTGATGCGTGTCTTGCATGGATGCTCCACTCTGAGGATGATACCAACTTCCGGCGAATCTGCCTCTGTTCTCAAAGACCAACATGATGAATGTATTCATGGTATTAGTATCTTTTTTAATGTTTAGATTGGTATTCAATTGAAATGATGTTTATCGAAACAAGTGTTAAACAATACTGTAGAAGTATGAAATTCTACATCAGCCGAAAGAGTCTTTTCACAAGCGACCTCTTTGGAAGACTTGAGGTGTCCTGGTGTATTGAAGGATTCTCTCCACACAGGAGTGGTGAGGAAGGCTTGAGCTCACGTCAAGCACCTCAGTTGCAAACGGAGCAAGCAACACCGCTTCAGGCAGATACAAATCGAAGGAATAGCTGCGTACTGCCGCTATCCATCCCCTCTTGTAATGAAAGCACATCCTCAAATCCACTTAGTGTCAGTGTCGACGACACTTTGGCAGAGCATTGTTCATTCCGTGACAACAACAACAAAGATGCAGACTGCACCGCACTCAGGGTTGTGAGCTTTGCCTAGCAACCTCTGGATAAAGAAGGTGCTACTTACACAAGTCGCAACCACACAAGCGTATAAACTTTACTCATTGCCTGGAAAACAGCCATCTCTTCCGTGAGGTGAAATTCGAGTTCAATTACGAGGATTGCGTCAGGTTTCAGAGACATGAATTCTAAGAAGACGATGCAACATTGAAGAAAGGGAGAAAGCCATTGAAGGTTACAAAAACCAGCTCTATTCTGACTTTGTATTCACGTAGTGAAACGAGATACTTTGAAACACAAGTGCGGTTACAGTCATTTTCTTTCAATCGTTCTTCACCTGTCTACAGTAAATCTCTACAATCAGCCACTACGAGGCGTGTACACTACAGAGGGAATGACCGAACTCCCTGTGGCATGTTGGGGACGACTCGCAATTTCTCCACATCATCAGTCTGCTCTACTGAACGAAGTAGTTGAAAGCAGAACAGAATGGAAAACAACGCCCCTGACACAAACTACTCAAAATGATGTACCCATTGCTAAGTGGCATCAACGCCAAACAAAAATTCTCCACAACCCAGATATACTAAGGGCATACTCGTATAATCGTCACAAGTCATCCCCGGAGGTTTACGGCTTCCAAGGGGAGGAGCTTGGGGAGTACATCACGTGCCTTTACATATTTAGCCCCTCGTCATCGTGGGCCGTGGTACCATGGCATAAATTTAACAACCCCTTCTGCAAGGGATAACAGCACAAAAGTCTAAAGACATGCTGCAAAAACAAGGGACTGAGCATATCCGTTGTTGGTTCTGCGCCCACTTCCTCCAGTTCCTCCTCCGCCACCACCGCCTCCTCCTCCTCCCCCACCCCCTGCTGCACCTGGGGGCTTGTTCCCCAAGCGTCTTTTATACCTTTTCAAGACTGAGGCCAAATTTTCTTTGCCCTTCGGGAAAGCAACGTCTCCAGCGGCGGTACCAGTCCGACCTTTCCGCGACCCCACTGCTTGCTCTACCTCTTTAATCATCTCCAAGAAGACAGTTGCACTTGCTCCTTTTCCTTTTGTGCTGCTGGAATTCCGACCCCAGGACGAAGGGTATGGATAACTGCTCTGAGGTGAGTTTAAATGATCGCCATTTAAAGAATCTACTCGGAAGCTGTTAGATCCCTGTTTGGTTAAACCCCCTCGCACTGCTCGCATGTTGAGAATCTCTGAAACCTCCAGCACACAGTTGCACATTGGAGCGACAAGGCGAAGTTTGGAAAAAGCCGGCTCAAGTACACCCTGATCAGCATCAGAATAAGCGTTAGTGACACATAAGTTGATAGAAGATGAAGCAATGATAATGAATCAAACGAAAAAAAAAAAAACTTAGAAACTTCCATAAATGCGCTGTCAAAGTTCGCCTAAGCTATGCTTGCAGCTGGCATTCGTGAAACTAAACAGGCATCTAAAACAACACTACGCAGAAACAAGAGATGATACGTTGTTGAAAGCAAGGCGGTACCTGGAGCCGGTTCAGCACGTAAGTATATTTCCCCCAAAGCTCGGGCCTGCTTTCCATCAAAGACAATTCAAGTACGCGGTGGACACACCAAACGCCAAAGCTGACAAGCAAGCCCTTTCCCCATACACAAGATTCGCCACAGTAGCTAACTCTACGTGCCTCATTGCTGGATTTCAAAAGTGATGAAACAGGGCGGCCATGAGCTTGCCAGCGTTCATTGCGGGACACTCTATCAGGAGCATCTGCTTCCAAATGCATTTTCTCAACAGCTGCAACAGCTGCAACCAAGTCCTCATCTGACCCGTTATCAAAACGGAACAGCCACTCTGATCCTTCCAGACACAGAAGCTTGCAAATGCAAGTTCTCAAGTTATCCATCATCTCCAAATCTGTATCTGGCCAAGAACTGAAGGCGGTGGAGGCATTTGACAAGCTATCCGAGCCGCTACCTGTCTTCCCAGACCTGCCATTGATGTTCCCACTCCGACTTGAACCCATGCTTCCAGAACCACCTCTGGACCTACCGGATTCACCATCAGTGGTTCGTTCCGTAACCCCCCCAAACAATTGATCGAAGGGCTGCCGAGACCATAAGGAATTCTCTGACTGAGCAGATTGAATAGAAAACCCATCTCTATGCGACACCGATGGAGAGAGGTCATCAAATGACAACGGAGCTCCCCCTCTGGACGTGCTCCCAAGCCTGCCAATCGGCGAATGGCCCGAACTTGGTTGATAAAGCTCCCCTGTTGCTCGATACACTAAGGGGTCCAGGGTGGTCATCCTGCTGTCCCAAGATTTAGGACCGTTCAAGTCTCTTTCACCAGTGACTCTATGGTTCATGGCACTCCTATTCGGTAAAGCATTCATAGATCGAATAGACTGTCTAGCGTCCTCCGAGCTCCCGTGAAAACCTCCACCATACAAAGATCCTTCGAAATCCCTTTGAACACCTATTCCTAGAGGTTGCTGAACACTAGCTTGACCAGAAAGTGTCCGTACCGATTCCGAACCATACACTTCAAAAGATGACATAGGCCTGGTTGACTTATTAGCAGGGCTTGAAGTGGCACTCCGACCACCAAGAAATGAAGGGACGTGGTAACCGTGAATCGTGGCGGGCTGTCTATCAATCTCCTCTGAGAACGATGGCAAGCGCATGCTGGAATACTGGCGCTCAGGCAAATATGGCGACCCCAAACTTCCTGATCTGACTGAGAAATCCGGAAGCCCAGGAAATCCGGAAGAGGTTGTCCGGGTGGTGTGTGACTGTGCTCTTGCAAAAGCATCCTCCAAGTGTTGGTCCACCGGCAGATGAAGACTATTCGTCGATTTTAATGGCTCCCGCTGATTACGCAGTGAATACCCGTTGTTTTCTCCACCCAAACAAACATCGGCAGGAGAGCTCACCCTTGGTAAGTATGCACCAGGATCAACGGATCTTGTTTGAATGCAGGGATTATCATAAGGTGACGATTGAGGTCCAGCAGTTGATCCAATCGCATTTGTCCTCGTGCCAACCTTGCTAGCTATGGGCTGTCCATGCAAGTCGAACAATTTACCCCAAAACTCGTCAAGATAAGCAGCGAACTGTCGACGCGCAGCTCGTCCAAGCCCCGATAGACGTGACAAGCTCCCACTCCCACTACCACCGACACTGCCTTCACTTACATCACTCCTGGCGCCCTGACTCCTGGCAGAACCAGTTCCCTCGTACGTCAGGTTACTGTAGCTATGTCCTAAAGTACCGTAAGACAAAGGTCCCACAACTACGTTCTCGTGTTCCAAATCATCACCCTCATCGTCGTCTTTTTCTATCAAATCTGCATCTGCTTCAGCCTCTGCTTCCTTCAAAGCAATTGACTCAACGTCATCTGCAGCTAGAGAAACCTGCCTTCGAACTGCAATCGATCCGTGATTTGGACGAGGTTTCTTCGTCTCTGTCGTTTTCTTAGAAGGAAGAGATGCATCCTTTAAGAAAGTTTCTATAGTACCAGCAATCTCAGGTTCTGTGAGAACATGACTTCTGTCATGACCAGAGGAGGTGACCTCTATTGACGGATCCAACTTCCTCTCATCATCTGGAGACGACGAACTTTTCACCAACTTGCCATCTTCACTAGGTTTGTCACTCAAATTCCAATCATGTACCACTGCTTCAGAAGCAGCTGAAACTTCCGACTGATTGACCATTGTCACTTCCAATGGCGGTTCCACAACTTGCAGTGGGATTTCATTGTCAGCGACATGGGGAGTATCAGCAGAAATAAGAACAGGATCAACGACCCGCTTTCTGGCAGCGGGTATAAAGGGTTCAGCCGCTGTGTTAAGATCTGATGTACGATTCAAATCATTCACGTGGACTGGTTCGGGGGGATACGCCAGCTCTGTCGACTTGGAGACTAAATCATCAATGTCGCTACTAGAAGTGCTGACTGTTGACGGCCAAAAGGCAAGCTCTCCTCTTCCGACCTCCCCTCTCCCAAGCTCCAACGCTGAGTCACCGTCGAGGCCAGATAGCGCACTCTCCGGCCTGGAAGAATATTCCAAATCTAACAAATCATTGGCCAGCATAACATCCTGGGTAATTGGAATCATGTCGTAGACTTCAGTGATGGCCGGATCAGGGGGATATTCCACTACCCTCAGTGAGTCTTCAACAATGTCTTGACTACCACGCATTACCTCGTTCCTTTCAAATAATTCATACTCTTGAACCCATTTCCTTTCCATAGCTATCCTATCGATGCGAAGCGGTGTCACAACCAACCATATGAGGAATCCAACGCAAAGCCCGATACCGATCAATACCAGAGCGAAAACAGAAGTGTTCAAGGTATCTTCTCCATAATGGCCAAACGAATCCGTCCCGAGAAGACTCTCAAGGTGAGCGGCAAAACCAGCAAACTCGTCGATTTCATCCAGCAAGACGTCAAACACCATCCAGATGTTTGCAGCTACCACAAGAGCAACAGAGATCCAAGCTACGCTTTCAACAAGAGAAGAGATTTTGTAGGATCCCATCCGAGCCTCTGATGCAGAGGCTTTGATAAGTGGCAAGGCAGAAAAGGGAAGCTCCATAGCTATTATGATTTGTGCAAACAGTAGCAGCCGATATAGACCTTCACTGCCATAACGCCATGCGCAGAAAGCAGCGGGAATCACTGCTGCCCCCCTCACCAAAGAGCGATGCAGCCACGGTCCCATGGACATATCTAAAAATCCCTCCATGGTTACCTTTCCAGTGAGGGTTCCCGTCAAAGAAGACAGTTGACCCGCACAAATTAGAGCTAATCCAAATACCGCTGGTGCTATAGAGTTACTCAATATCTGCACCAAGCTCAACATATTAAAATAGAGCTAATGAGGTTGGTGAAAACAAGGTCATGAGATCTAAACGTGACACACTGCAAAGCGAAAGACAATGCATACTATGCATACACCACACGAAAGCAACTGCTGGATTCACAAAAGTCGCGGGCTTTATGTCACAAATGAGAAAAAAGAAAATACCTGCTCCATCAGTGCATATGCATCCTGGAGAGTCAGAATAACCAGGCCAACGTTGTGGAAGGTAGAGGCGGCTACCACCAATACAGCTAAATTAGCAAGCATGGCGATTGCAAATGCTCCGATTGTATCACGCATGTTCTCTTGAACAACTAATTCCTTTGCTTTACTCCCAAGTTTATGCTGCCCCTGAAGCAGAGCCGAATGTAAATAAAATGTATGTGGAACAACATTTGCTCCAATCAATCCCACAGCAGTGTAGAGAGAGTCTCCTCGAACTTTGGGCCACACGCCACCAAGGAATGCGAAAGCTGATGGACGGCTTAGTAATGTCCCTAACCCAAAGCAGAGGATCACTACGCCAACGATGCATCCAGCGGCCAACTCCGCCCGGTGCACGCCCTGAAAATTAGAACTTGAGCAATTAGGTCAGGTCGAGGGTGCAGTAGTGATGGAGAAACTCACGAATCGAAATGCGTGTGAAAGTCGTCACATTACACAACAGCTCACACCACCAACAAAATTTCAACACTCTTACAGAGGACTCGATCCGGCTAAACCGAAACCGATAATTCCCAACATCCCAATATGATTTTAAAATCACATTAAGTACGATTTACGTCTCAATCCTACAGAAATCCATAGAAAAACCTCCATGCCATGAGGAAATGAGCTAGACTTCAGAAGAAAGTCTCACCACTATTGGTAAAGCCATCATTAAAATGATACCATCGAAAGCCAACAAAAGAATGCTGGGCAGCACCGGAAATCCAAACAGCAAATTTAAGCCAACAGCAGTCCCTACAACCTGCCAGAGCCCACAAGCATATAATTCTCAGTATTGGCAGCTTCAAAAAAAAAAGTTCAATAGTAATACTGAAGCCGTCACTCCAAACTTAGAGGCAAAAAATTTGCACAAAAAATTTGAAAACTTAAGTCGTTTAACAAGTACTATCAATCAGCTATCAAGTAGGGAACAGCAGCAGGTTATTTCCAACCCTATCTTAACACTAAAAAACAAAACGAGTCGAATTCACACATTCACAAACTCAAAACGGATATAATAGAAAATTCAAAATCATCTAAGACACAGAATCAGCACTTCAGAAATCCCCTAGGGCACACGCAACGATTCCACCAATTCTTAAATTAGTTAACAGTAAATAGACAATATTTACATCCCTCAAAAAAGAAAAAGGGAAAAAAAACACAGTTCACAAAAAAAATTGGTCGAACGTACCATTGTCAGATCGAGAGCGATTATGGATACTTCAGAGAGAAACCACAACAACAAGCAAACGGGCCTGGGATAATCTTCACGACATATCTGCAAAGGAAAATTAGGTGAACGGTAGTCGTATAATTAGCTATATTTGTTTGCAGGAGTCGTATGTACGTATGAATGCATGTATACGATACTGACAAACCCACTCGCTTTTAGTACACGATCGGTCTTAAACAAGTCTACCTAAGATACAATTGACTAAAATATTCCTTTAGTTTAGAAATATCCAATTGTCGTTACAAGTGCGCTGGAAAACAAGCTAGACTTACCTACGCTACACTTTTTATCCCAAGTACAATGCAACAGACAGCCCGAGGCAACCAAAGTTGAGGTAAGAAGATAAGAACCTCGGCAAGATGCTTCCCAGACACTAATCCGAGTCGGGTAGCGAGTGTTTGAAAAAGAGCTGCCATTACGTTGGACAGAATCACTACCCAGACAAGCTCAAATCCGAACCTGGAGCCACCCTCAATTGCGCTGGCCCAATTCCCAGGGTCCATGTAACCTATCGCAATCAGGACAATCGGAGCTAGAGCAGGTACATATTTTGCCATAGATGGCGAAGAGTCCATCCATTTTGGCATGGGTGATGAAGTGTCCACCCGTTGCGGCACGTCGTGAGCCATTTCCAACAGGGAAACAGGTGCCTCCTAGTTAACCTTACACAAACAAACCTTTCATAACCAAAACTCCACTACAACTAGGTCCGACTTACTCAAAAAAAACCCCAGGCACAACAGCCCGAGCAGAGTGTATCCATTCTTATGCTGCAACTCACTCGAAAGTTGATCATCGCGTTGAGCGGCTACACTCACTCAATACCCGTGAACTCACAAGCCTGCTGCGTATGCACCGACTCCACCACTGGCAGCAGCCAATGAGAACATGCCGAATTACGAGTAAACCATATCACTGAGAGACCAACTCAAACGTTCCAATGTGCCAATGTGCATCGCCCGTGCAGAGAATGAAGAATTCCAGATTCGGGAACAAGTGCAACCGCTGTAGAAGTGATCGCTTACAACGCATATTCCATACCTCGCAAACCCAACAGTATCTTTCACAATCGTCCCTCCAAGAATCTACAAAGGGAAACAATCAGGTCCAACGAAAATCCACTCTCAACAAACCCTGTATTCTAACCCCTCCTCCCCCCCCCCCTATCGTTATCAACCACCCTCTCTATCACTCATACCCAATACGCCGCGAAAAAAATCTAAAAAATAAAACAACCGACCAACACCATTCAAGAAACAATGAAACCCAAAATGTCTACCCCATGTCTCCGAATCCTCCACCGCCTGCAACAACACATCTAAAGAAGCCCAATCGCTCAATCATCATTGCCCTATCGCATCATCACAGGTGCCATCGCTCGCAACCCTGAAAGTAACCAGCGTGCACCTGAGCACGAGAAAGACAGAAAGAAACAACGAAGGAAGGAAAGGTAAGGTCCAAAGCACTCGGACACCTCGCCCATCACCAAAAATCCCTCCCCCTGGTGCCACTTCGCCAACTGACACTTCTCTGACATGTGCTCGTAGCCCACTTGCGGCGAAGAAAGTCGGACAGTAGAATCAAATCCAAACCCGCACAAACCCGCAGACGGCGTTGCTCAATTTTAGCGACGGAGTCCACTCCTGAACGGCAGTGGCTCTCTCGTATCCCGCCTTCCCCAACACAAAACTGGGTCCAATCTTGCCTCAATCACCACCCCGTCGACATATCCTATGCAACGCGGCTGCCATGCCCAGACCCAGAGCCCCATATGTAACATTTCAGAAGATTCCACATCCGGTGCCTACGTCTCCTCCATTACGAGACTGCGCGCAAGTGGGGGCTGATAGACTTTGGCCACCGCATCTACCAAAACGGCCACCTCAATCTACCCGCTCGTGCAAACGACGCGCAACATGAAGCAAAAGCAGAACCACTGGAGCTTACGCATCAACCGACGTGGCCTCGAGTCACGGGATGCAAGTTGCAGGGCGGGGATAGTGACCCAACTTTCGTTGACCCGGATGACGCGCATACGTACGAATACGGGAAGCAGCGAATGGCAGGTTATCCCTTTTTGTGAGAAATGCACAGCTCGGCTCGGGATAGAATACCTGCATGCGTGGGGATGCGTGAGTTCTATTCGGTCATGCACAAGTACAGCAGGCTCCGGCTGGAGATTGGCTCTCGTGGGTGCCCAGCTACAGTGCACCAACTAAATAATGAAATTCCGAAACCGAAACTGGCAAAAGCAAATAAAAAAAAAATAAAGCACGCGATTGAGTCAGTCTCCCCTCTCTCTCGCTCCCTCACTCCCTCCTCATGGCCTAGAAACCCAGCTGGGTGGATTTTTCAGCCCCCTATGACCACCTTCCCCGACTTCCCGGACAATGATAGTCACTGCCCCGCTGCGGTAAACCTCCGCACATACCCAAAAACCCATCTCCATAACAGGAATAGAATGCTCTATCCATTTATAGTTAATCTAATACTCCATCGCTGCGGGACCGCGATCACACTGATCACTCACTCTCTCTCCCTCTCTCTCTCGCTCTCTCTCTCTTGTTCAAGTTGCGAGTGGCACTGTAGGCGACGCAAGTGCGAACCCCTCCCTTCCATGAATTCACTATTTGTTTGTGTGGATTGCGCTGTTGTTTGTGTCTGATCGATTCGCGTCGTCGTCGTCGTCGCAGTGCGAGTGTGGCATGCACGGGTTTTGCGAAACCCGAACCAGAAGCCGCTTTCGGCATTCGTTTCCCTTCCCGGTCCCGATCCCCACACTCCCCTGTGCTTGGACGGGTTCAGCGGCCTGGCCCCGCTGCACCGCATCCGGTTGTTTTTTATCCCCTTTCACACCGTCCTGCCCTGCCCTGGGGCTCGTGTCTGTTTGTGAGTGTTGGTGTGTCTCCGTGGGGTTTACTTTAAAGTGACCTGCGAGTCTGACTGCTCGCAGGTTCAATGTATTGAATAGTCCCTCTTGCTTTTTGCTCCTTTTCTGCCTGCGTGGTTGACGTTTTTCTGTTTTATTTTTATTTTCTCATGAGATGTTGCTTATCCATATTTAAAAATTATTATGCAAGCTTTACAGCTTAGAATTGGATCCTAAACCAATAAATTACACCAGGATGTTAATTATTTATGAAACAGATAACACACAACTTCAATCATCTAATTTTTTAAAATTGAAAGAAAACATGTATGTACCTCTAAAAACATTTAATTACATAGTGCATTTAATTTGAAATATATGTATATATGTGTGTATATGTATATGTATATATATATATATATATAACTTCATAGTGTGGCAAGTAATTTTAGTTTATTACTTAATTAAAAATCTAACTGCCATAGTAGTATTTGTATTTTTGGGAAAAGCATGTATACATTGTCTTTAAACAACTCAAAATTCTCCAAAATGTTTTTTAGCATGAGACTAATAAACTAGTTTGAGTTTTATTATAAAAGACAGTGGATTGCCAAATTCAAAATTCAAAATTCAAAAAAAAAAAAAAAAAAAAGAGGCTTTGAAGCTTAAAATAAATTTGAAATATTTAAGTATGTAAATATAAAACAAATTTTAGTTTTCTATAATTGAAAATAAATTTATTGCAATTTTGATAACTTTTTTGGATTCTAGGTATAATCTTTTTATATGCCTTATCTCAAGTTATATTAAAATCTTCAAATAATTGTGTGATTTTAGTAATTAAAAATCAATTTAGAAAACTATTTTATTTTTTAATTTTTTATATTTTAAAATAAAATAAAATAAAAAATAGAAAAGTATGATTTATCAATAATTTTTAAATTAGTTTATTTTTATTTAAATAAAATGAACATATATATATGTATATATATATATATATATATATATATATATATATATGAGAATGTTAAATAGACCCAAATTTTTACTAAATCAACTCATCCATCCTAATCATCATTAAAAAACAAAAAAAAAAAAAAACAAAAAAAAAAAACAAAAAAACAAAAAACCTTTAGATTCATTTCTCCACTATTGGATTTGCATCCAATAAAAATTAATCACATTCACCATGATAACCATATTATTCATCAAATATGAATCTATTTAGTAAATGCATGAATCTAAAAACAAGTCAAAATAACAATATGATTTCAATTTATAAAATAGATTATAATTTGTATTTTTTTAATTAAACAACACACAATTTACTTCATTATGTGTCTGCAATACCAAAGAAATGTTATAAGTGTATAAAAAATTACAACTATATTTGACAAATCTCATCTTATTCCACCTATAATTTTTTCAACATTCTCCATTTGTTCAAGACCATCTAGGAAATTTTTCTACTCTTCTAAAAACATGAGTAGATGCCTAAAGGCTTTTTTTAGTTTTATAATATTTTGTGATGAAAAATTTATCTTATTCACAAATTTATTAAGAAATATTTTGTACAAGCTTTTATAGGACTCAATTATTTTAGAATAAATATAAGAACAAGATAAAAGGCATATATCACAAACATACACATGTAAGCCAATAATTACATATATAAATAGGTAGAAGTAAGTAAAAATAAATAAAAGTAAGTTAATTCTATAGTATTTGATATAAAAGCTTCCTAGAAGCTTTATAGATGCTGCTTTGCCTTTATAGGTGTCTTTAATTGACTTTTTGGATTAGAAACGTGGTCAACAAGTTGGTCATGTTTCACACATGTTGTTAGCTTGAAGACCAAGCTAACTATGTGACCCACATATAGAAAAACTTACCTTGTAAGTCAAGGCATGTGTCCTATAAAGTCAACACATATTGGAGGTCCTATAGAACGCCGCCACATAGCCCCTAGTTAGGTAGTATGTGTCACGGACACAAAATACAGACTTGAAATCTAACAAGAAGTTCAAGAAGAAGTGGCAGAAGTAGATTAAACAGATGAGTACAAGAACAACACCAGAAAGGTGAGCTAAAACTCCAAGAGATGTGTTGTCGAGACTGAAGAACCCTTCAGCCTCGATTCCTATATATACTACTGAATAGGAAGCTTCTCGAGCTACTTCCGCTAACTAGGACGCTTCTCCAACAACTTCTACTAATTAGGAAACTTCTCGAGCAACTTCCTAGAATCTATCAGAATATTTTAGAACCTTCTAAGAATATTCTAGAACCTTCTAAGAGAATCTTTAGGGAATATTCTAAGAATCTTCTAGAACCTTCTAAAGGAATCTTTAGAGAATCTCCAGAGAATATTCTAGAAGAATATTCAAAGAATCTTCCAATGTATGTCCATGACATCACCTCCTCTTCTAACTTCGAGGTCTCCGAGAAGCAATGTTGTTATCAGTCAATACCAACACAAGAAAATGAAAATCTGTCGCATCACATCTGCTATGAATTCCAATTGTTGTTCGCGAGGCAAATGATTCATCAGCCCTTGGAGCCAACGGTAGTGACCAACACCTTCAACCTCTGACCAAGCGTGGACTTCTGTGTCTTCATTGTGAAACTGTCCTCCAAACACACCTTCTGGCTGACCGTTGTAGGCAGGCTCGACCTCAAATACAATTACTAGCGATCTATTGCTCGGTATCCTCCGACGTCGTCGTGGTGCAAGCGGTTCTTCATCTCGCGGTCGTCTTCATGAGCTAGTCGCTTGAGATGACATAACAAGTGTAGTATCTTGACTATCCATGTCCAAAGGCTAAAATGATGAGAGCAAACTATAGTTGCTAACAAAGTTCTACACTATCGAACTATGGGTTTTGGAGGTGCCCTCCCCCCTTTTTATGCTACTTGATGAGCAAGCTTCAGCAAGAAGCTATCGTTGAATCGGCTTAGGTTTATGAGGATATCGTTGATGAAATTCTTGTACCTTTTTTGGTGCATTGGCAAGATTTTCGACACGCTCCCACGTTCGTTCATTGATGTCGTATCCACTCCAATGCACTAAATACTCCAATTTTCTCCTATTACGCTGTGAATCTAGTACCTTTTCCACCTCGTATTCCTCATGGTTTTCAATTTCGATACTTGGTGGCGGACTTTGTACTCTTTGGGGAAAAGCTGACTCTCGATAAGGTTCCAACAAAGACACGTGAAAGACTGGATGTACCTTCATAGTAGCTGGTAACTCCAGACGATATTCCACCGGATTGATCTGCTTCTCGATAACAAATGGCCCTAATCTCCGATAGTCCAATTTGTCACATGGCCGCTTGGTCTTTATATTCCGTCGAAGAAGTCATACTTTACTTCCAACTTTAAAAGTAGGCGCCTCATTTCGATATTTATCTGCAGATGCCTTGTAACTCTCTTGGGCAGATTGCAATTGAAGCTTCAACGTCGCTTGAAGCTCCGATAGTTGCTTCACAAATCCTTCAGCTGCTGGGTTGTTATTTGCTGAAGAACTCAATAAATCGAGCTTGGGGTGGTATCCGTAGTTGGAGAAGAATGGTGTTTGTTGAGTTGACGCATGAAGAGTGTTGTTGTATGCGAACTCAGCAAGCGGTAGATATGCAGTCCAATCATCTTGTTGATAGTTGATGCTGCATCGTAAATATTGCTCCAAAACTTGATTCACCCGCTCCGTTTGACCGTCAGTTTGAGGATGAAAAGCCGAAGAGAGCTTAATATCCACCTTCAATATCTCAAAGAGGGACCTCCAAAACTTGGATACAAACTGAGTACCTCGATCCGACACGATATCATCTGGTAGGCCATGATAACGATATATGTTATCAAGAAAGAGTCTTGCGGTGTCTTCACTTGACGATGTTTTCTTG